AGCAAGAAACAAAACCTTCTTCTAGACTGGCTTTCCCACTTCGGCTCCAGCTCCATGGGGGCTGCGCTCTGAGCTGGTAATTCTATTTGGTCGAGGGTGAAATGGGGCTCTAGAGAGCAGCGGCGGCCGTGTGCTGGCCCGAGGTCAGGTGGGCATATCAGCAGAGAGACAGGATTGGAACCAGGCATCCCTGCCACCCCGCCCTCCCCACTCCCCAGCTGGGCCTGTTTCTGATCCTCAGGCTATGCCGCTTCCTCTTCTGCAGCTGTCAGGGCCAGGTCTCTCAGCCCAGAAAGCCTGGGGGACCGGGTTCGAGATGCCATCACTGGCTTCAGTCTGTCCCTGGTCTCTGGCTCATGGGCCACGTGACTCCAGGGAACCTCATCTCCATGGCTCCTGCTCGACTCACAGGGTCATTCATTCCTTACACACACACACACACACACACACACACACACATACACACACACACTCACACACACTCACACTGGCACACACGCACACTCACACTAGCACACAATACTTACACACACTCATAAACACTCATGCACACACACTGGCACACACGTATGCACACGCACACCGGCACACTCATACTTATCAATCACGCACTCATGTACACACTGGCACTGGTGCACACATACAAGCACACACAACCACACACACATGCACACTGGCACACACACACTTGCACATGCATGTACCCTCACACGCACGCACACTCACAGACACACACTCACAGGTGAACCCCCGGGCTCTCCCAGCACAGCACAGCACCCCCAACCCCCTGGACTTGCCCTGCTGTGCCTCAAACTCACCCAAGCTAATAGCAATCTTTTCCCCCCTTTTTCTGATTTGCAAGCGATTAGTTTTAATTTGGGGACAATTAGAGGTAGAAGCAGGAGGCATCTGATCTTGATTAGAATCAGGGAGATGGCCCCCAGGCTGCCCAGCCCTTGCCTCCACACAGATTCATTTGTATATGCAGTAAGCTCCCTCGTTCTAGCCAGAAGGAAAGGTGCAAAGGGTATCTGAGGGTGACCGCCCCCCCAACACGTTCTGTCCAGCAACTGGCCCTGAACTGGTTCCCAGCCTCATAAGAGGGTTGAAGTGACTTTTGCTAAGCACCTCCCACGTACTTTGCCTTGCTCTGGGCAAAGCTGACACAGCCCCTGTTGTTAGCCTGTGCCCGGGTCGGGGAAAGGCAGACTCATAAACAAGCACATGCTTCTGGAGGAGGGGGCCTCACCCTGTCATCTGGGGAGAGTTCCCAAGGGACTCCAGACACAGCTCTCTGGCTGTTTGCATCTCACACAACAGCTCTGACCAGTGACAGCGCCGGTCACTGGACGGCAGCTTCCAAGTACTCTCTTGGGAGGTGATGGAGGGGATTGGGAGGTGCTGGGGAGAGTGGCAGGGAGGGGGGGCACAGCCTGGGCTTTGGCTGGAAGCAAGAGTCCCCCTACCTATGCTTGTGCAAGTCTTCTCTCAGACCCCTGCTGCCCCTCTCCAGGCCTTGGGCAAACAACTCCTTCCTCAGTGCTCCTAGAGCTAGATGGGAGGCTGCAGGCTGCTGATGAGCAGAGCCATTGTGGCCCCACGTGATGCTCCTGGTTGGGGGTTGGGGCCGGCTGAGTCAGAGGGGTGGGAGGTTGTAGGAGTGGGAGGGACAGCCTGTACTTAGTTCCTGAACCCCAGAGTGCTGGGCATGCCCTCCCGGGGCTGGGGTGGAAGGAGACTTCGTGCATACATCTCTTCCCCCATGCCCGTCCCGTCCCCCATGCCCCACTGCATCCACCGTCCACTGTCTAGCTGCTGGCCCTGCCCCCACACCACATCCATGAGGTCCAGATGGCAGGCCCGGAGGTGGGAACAATGGAGGGTCAAAGGGGACTAAGTGCACTTAAGAAGCCTCTGGGGCTCCTGGGACTAGTAAACAGGGAAGCCGCCCGCCCCCCACCTGTCCACCTCCTGGACGTCCAGCCCCCTGCTCACAGGGGCCCACCCACAGCAGGGCGCGCTGGTGGTTGCTGCCATCCTCAGCCAAGCATGGCCCACTAAAGGCCCCAGGACCCCCCAAGTCCCAAGACATTCCCCCTTCCCCCAGTCCTTTGGTCTCAGCTCTTCTCTATGGCCCTGTGGGGGCCCTGTGAGGCCACAGTCTGAATTTTAGAGGGAGAAATCGAGGCTCAAAATGGGAAGAACCAACTTGGCCTGTTGAGTCCTTGGCAGCCAGGAATGGGAGTGCCTGTCTTGGTTGGCCTGTTTCCTGCAGCTTCCAAAGGAGGTAGCTGTCTGCTGGGCCCCGGCTCCAGCTGTGTGTCTGGATGCCACAGCCAGCCTCAGGCCAGCCTCCCACGTCTCTGAGTCTAGCTGCCTGGGCAGGGCTTGCAGCTGGCTAGGAAGACTCTCCCGGTCATGCCTGACATCTCCCTGAGCTCACCATGGACTCTGCCGTCCTCTCCTCCTGTCCCCACCTCCATCAGCCCTCACGCCTCACACCCTGTAGTGCTTAGAGTGGGAAGCAAGACCTGGGAGCAGAGTCCAGAGTCCAGGGGATAGAGCTGTTCAGACTCTGGTGCAAAAAGTGTGAGTGCCCAGGGGGCCAGGGGCATCTTCTGAATTTTGGGGGTCACTCAGCAGGTTCTGTGAGATCATCCGAGCCCAAGGGCCTTTGCCCTCCAAGACAATCTCCTCATTTCAAAAATAATCTTCCCTGAAGCTGAGGAAATGGCTGAAAAGCCTGAGCACATGGTCTTCATGCACCCATGTGGGTGCCACCCCAAAACCACTCAGAGTGACCACCCCACCCCCACCCAATGCTATGCATGTAACAAATAATGGAGTTTCCCCTTCCCCTGCCCATCCCTTTTTATTGCTGTTACTGCAGTGACCAGAGATCACACACACTGGATTGTGGCCTCTCAAAGATTTCCCACTTCATGTGTAGTGAGGCCTGAGATCCCCAAAGACAAAGTCTCGGGGATGGCTTTCAGCATATGGGGTGGCACCAGGGATCAAACCCCCAGTCCCATTTCCAAGGCAGGCACTACTGCTAACCGATCCCCAGGTTTGGGAGATGGTACTTGAGCCCTGGATTACAGAATGTGTCTTTGACCCCAGGCCCTCAAAAGAAGAGAGTTCTGAAGTCCTTGCATCCATGTGGGATTGACTGTGGGTGATTGTGTAACTGTCCAGAGTTCACCAATCAGGGGGAGAGTGAGGAAAGCCACTGACTGCAGGCCAGCCCCCGGGACCTGCTGAGCGTCTCTGACTCACTCTTGCTACATCCGCCATGATCTGTTGTAGGCTGGCTCAGGGCAAGACCTCCGAGGCAGCAAGGCAGGACAAGAGGGACCCTCAGGGAAGGGAAGGGTGTTCTGAAGAAGACCTCGGAGTCAAGGGCGTATCTTGGAGGTGGCAGCCTTGGAGCAGGACCATGGTGGAAGGTCCTAGGGGAGGATGCGAGCTGTCAGGTACACGCAGAGCAACAAGAGCAGAGGAGGGGGGAGGGCATCTGCCAGCACAAGGGCCCAAGGCTGTCCAGTTATGCTGCCCTGCCCATGCAGCTGGGGAGAGCAGGGCTGGGCAGGGCAGTCTGTAGGTCAGACTCAGTGCCAGGTGGCTGGAGGCTGCATTTTGTAAGCAGAAGTAGATCTTGAATAACACGCATTTGCAGTGGGTTGCAGATTATCAAGTGCTTCCTGACTCCCCCAGGCAAGGCAAATGGTGCCCTTGCACCTTGCAGGCTCCCGGGGGTGAGAGGCTGGTTTTCTAGGCAAGGCCCATCCATGCTTGATCTGGGGCAGGATGCTGAGCTGCCTCTCAGGCCCCCAGCTCAGCAGCTCAGCCCTTCCTATTCCCTCACTGTGCCCAGACAGGCCCTGTGCTGGGGGACAGGGGCCGCCCAGGTCATATATGTGTGCGGAAGAAACAAAAGGTGCTGGGGGAGAGGACTCTGGAAGGGGGACTGGAGTGGGGAGACCCTGTGAGCCCAGGTCATGCTGTCCAAACAGCAAGAGACAGGGCTGGGGGCTGGGAACATGGGCCTGGGACCTCACTGCAAAGCAGGAGTGGGATGGGGGGGGAATGAAGATGCCAGAGCCGAGGACCACCTTCAGCTTTGGGGGACCAATCACCCGCTTCTCCTTGTATCTATTATGGCGCAAGAGGGACTGGGGAGACACAGGCCCCATGGGACTCATGTGCCACGTGAGGCAGCTGGAGCTTGGGAAGCACTTGGGACTAACAGACAGGAGGGATTGAGTTCAAATCCTGCTGCCGGACCCTTTTGCTCTTGGCAGCTGTACACCCCGTAAGCAGGCTGCACTTGCATACAACTCAGGTAAGAGGCGTCACTGCTGCCAGCTAGCTGGCATGACGGAGATGGTAATGACGGTGTCCTCCCAAGGTGGGATCTGAGGACAGTGTTGGGCACTGAGCACAGGGGGTGGGGAGAGCCCTCAGCGAGGGGCGCTGCCCTCTGCTCTGCCTGCACAGCCCTCCCGCACCAGACTGAGCTGAGTCCTCACGCTTGTCCTTGGAAACCAACGCCACTTCTATATGAGTCTTACAAATAGGACACCCAGGGGGTGAAACCGTCTTTAATTTTCTTTTTTTCCAGTTGCTTTACAATGGTGGGGATTAGATCTAGGACCTCCCACGTGGGTGGCCTGAGCTCTGCCACTGCGCCACACACATTCCTGCCCGACTCTGAAACCTTCTTAGAGCTTCACGGTGCTTTGTGTAGGCATTAGCCTTAGAGGCTGTAGCGGCGAGGGGGATTAACACACCAGCAATGGTGTGTATGTGTGTGTGTGTGTGTGTGTGTGTGTGTGTGTGTGTGTGTGTGTGTGCGCACGCGCAGGCGCACAGGTGGGGACAAGCTGGCGGTCTGACCCCAGATCTGCCCTCCTCTGGACTGGGTGGGCAGCAGGGGTTCCGCCAAGCAGATTCACCGACCACCCCGGTATCTCTCTTCTGTCTGTGTCTGTCCCCAGCCTCAGGCCGCTCCCACCCAGCCAGCCCCAGCCCACCGGGGCCGCAGGCCAGCCGGGTGCTGCCCATCAGCTACCGCCTGTCCCACACGCGGCTGGCCTTCTTCCTGCGGGAGGCCCGTCCTCCGCCGCCCACACTGGCCAACGGCTCCCTGCAGCGCTCCGAGCCCTTCGTGGTGTTCCAGACCAAGGAGCTGCCCGTCCTCAACGTCTCGCTGGGGCCCTTCAGCACCAGTCAGGTGGTGGCCCGAGAGCTCCTGCAGCCGTCCAGCACCCTGGACATCCCCGAGCGCCTGACGGTCAACTGGAAGGTGCGGGCCTTCATCGTCCAGGCCCGCGTGCCCGCCTCGCAGCCCGTGGCCCAGGTGCTGTTCTACGTGGCGGGCCGGGACTGGGACGACTTCGGGGTGGCCGAGCGGCTGCCCTGCGTCCGCCTGCACGCCTTCCGGGACGCCCGTGAGGTCAAGAGCTCCTGCCGCCTCGGCGGGGGCCTGGCCACGTGCCTGGTGCGGGCCGAGCTGCCCCTGGCCTGGTTTGGACCCCCAGCGCCGGCCTCGCCGCCCACGGCCCGCCGAAAGGCCCCCGATGGGCTGGAGCCCGAGGCCGCGGGGGAGAGCCAGCAGGCCGAGCTCTACTACACGCTGCACGCCCCCGACGCGGCTGGGGGCTGCGGGGGCAGCCGCCGGGGCCCAGGGGCTGGGCTGGGGGCGCGCGCCGAGAGCCCCACGCAGCACCCGCTGCTGCGCATTGGCAGTATCAGCCTGTTCCGGCCGCCCCCGCGGAGGACACTGCAGGAGCACCGGCTGGACGGCAACCTGATGATCCGCCTGCCCGACCGGCCCCTCAAGCCCGGGGAGGTGCTCAGCATCCTCCTCTACCTGGCCCCCAACAGCTCCTCGCCCGCTGGCCCCAGTGTGGAGCACTTCACGCTCAGGTAGGCGGCCGCTGCCCAGGGGCCTCTCTGGCCCTGCTGCCAGACCCCCGACACCTGCCTGGGCCCCTATCCTAGCCCGGGCTCTGCTGGCCGTCACAAAGATGCGATGTTCACCTGTGCCCCAGAACACTCACCCTTGCCCCATCAGCATAGGGGCAACAGGAGCTTTCGGCCCCAACCCGCCCAGGATCACCAGAAGTGATGTCATTGGAAAGGGCGGTGTCAGGGAGCACATTCAGTTCAACCAACCTGCCTAGCTCCCAGGAAGTGGTGTCACTGGAAGGGGCGGGATCAGACCTCACCTGCGTGGATGTACCAAATGCTACAATTGGAGCTGCCGACCCACCCACAGAAGTAGAGGTCAAGGTCAAAGTGGAGTTGTGGAGGTCAGAGCAGGATGAGGGCTGGGTGCTGGAGCCGGGGAAGTGATTCTATCTCTGTACGTCCAATACCCCTAGACAGACACAGCTTGCAAATCTATAAAGGCCTTAACTCAGGTCCTGTGCACCCAAAAGATAATCATGTCTCAGAGTAGGAATTCATGGTTTGAGCTATAATGGGTGAGATGATAGGAAATGATCCGACAAAAATCTCCCCCCGCCCCCCCCAACCCAAGCACTGGGCATTAGACCTGAAATACCATCCTTTTAGCCTCCAAGTTACATGAGTTAATCTTGTCCTTCCCTGTGTGCAGATGACCTTAAAAAGCAACTGCTCTTGGAAAGGGGTCAGAGGCTGTTTCAGGCACTGATACATGAGGGTGAACTTGAGTTCAGTCATCATAAACCTTAGGCTGCATAAATGGGAGTAGAACATGCAGAATGATGGAGATGACAACCATCCTGCTTCAGTCCATGTTACTCTGAGCACAGCTGAAACGTTGCATTGAGACTAGGCCACTTACGCTATCTGAGTCCAGAAGAGCATGGCTAGGACATGAGTGGCCTCAGACTATGGTAAAATCAGTGACTGGAGGAGAGTGGAGGCCTAAAGGGAGGAGGACTCCGGAGGCCCCTCCAACCCTGCACACCACAGCTGCTGTCCTGGAGGAGAGTCACTCTCCCCTGCCCCAGCAGATCCCCGAGCTGCTGTGTTTCAGCCGACTGCAGGGAAGAGGTTTCTAGTCCAGGGGGACTGTGTGCGGGAGTCAGCCCCCTGTCACTGAGGTGTGGAAGGAGAAGCTCAATGGGGTCTTAGAGCTGCAGGTGAAGTGATGCAGCTACCCCTCAGGGTCAGCTCCATGATGTGAGGTTTCCCCGCTAGTCTTGAGTCTAGGACTCTGAGTGACAGGTCACCTGCTCCCTCCTCTCGTCCTAGCCCCAACCTAGGGTCACTAGGCTGACACTCTCCCTCCTCTTCCCCCACCCCTTTGTCCCAGGGTGAAGGCCAAGAAGGGAGTGACCCTTCTGGGCACCAAGTCACGGAGTGGCCAGTGGCATGTGACCTCAGAGCTGCTGACTGGCGCCAAGCACTCAACAGCCACCGTGGACGTGTCCTGGGCCCAGGGCACGCCCCTACCCCCATGGTGAGTGGAGTAGCCTCCCGGCCACCTTGCTGAAGGACCCGGATGGGCAACGCCAGTCCTTTGGGCTTAGTTTATGGGTATGTTGGGGCACAGAGCGGGGCACTGGGGTGTCTGGGAGAGGCTCAGAAGGCCCTCCCTGCAGAAAGGGCTGGAGACCTCCTGCTCCTGAGGCTCCCGAACTGTGCCCAGCCCCTCCTCCTCTCTCACTGTGCAGGGAGGGCCAGGGGCCCCTAGAGATACTGCAGCTGGACTTTGAGATGGAGAATTTCACCAGCCAGTCGGTCAAGCGAAGGATCATGTGGCACATCGACTACCGCGGACATGGCGCCCTGCCTGACCTGGAGCGGGCGGTCACTGAGCTGACGGTCATCCAGCGGGATGTGCAGGCCATCTTGCCCCTTGCCATGGTGAGCAGAGGCCGGGCAGCCTGGGTGTGGGTGCAGGTGTCTGTCACTGGGTGTGAGGGTGTGAGTGAGGCTGTGAGGTAGGTGCCCATGAGGGTGTTAAGATATATTATGTGTGCGTGTGTATCTGTGTGGGTGTGGGTGTATGTATATGGTTGTTTGGGTGTCTAGGTATTGGTGTGTGTGCGAGTGGGTGTGGCTGTGTCTGAGTACAGCTGTCTGGGTGTATATGTGTGGGTGTTTGGGTATGTGTGGGCGTAGATATGTGGGTGTGTAGTGTCTGGGTGTGAGAGTGTGTGAGAGTGTATATGTATGTGTGTCTGGGTGTAGGTGTGTGGGTGTGTGGGTATGTGTGGGTGTAGGTATGTGGATGTGTAGTGTCAGTGTGTGAGTTGAGGGTGTGTGGAAGTGTATATGTATGGATGTCTGGGTGTAGGTGTGTGGGTCTATGTGGGTGTAGATATGTGGGTGTGTAGTGTCAGTGTGTGGGCGTGAGGGTGTGTGTCAGGTAAATGTATGGGTATGTGGGTGTAGGTGAGTGGTTATGAGTGTGTGGTGTAGGTGGGCATGAGGGTGTGTGTGTGTGTGCACGCGCATGTGTGAACTCTCCCACCACACACCCCTGTCGCACACACCCTAACAAACAGATGGGCTGAGTGGGACAGGGAAGGAGAAGGAACAGGAGGCAGCTCGAAGACCAGGCACAGGTGTTCAGCATGCCCAGGAGTGGTCCCACACAGTCTTCCTGGCCCATCATGCTCTTCCCAGACCTTGAGCACATGACTCTCACTCCCCCTTAGCCCCCTTACCCAAGCCCCCTTGCGAGTTCAAACCCTGTCACCACGTGCTGCCCAGCACCGCCAGTTGTGACTCTGGTGGCCCCCAGCAACATCAGGCCTGAGTCCAGCCCCAAGTATGTGGGCCGGGTTTGCCAGGAGTGGACCCCAGGCCCCCGAGTACCTCTGCAAAGAAAGTGAAGTGGAGGAGCAGCCCAGGGGAGGGGACCTTGGTGGGCATGAGGGCTGGAGGACTCATACAGCCAGGGACTCGTGGGGCCACCTGGACAAGGGTGCCAGTGGGAAGTGAGAATCGTGGGCTCAGAGGACATGTTTGGGAAGAGCAGGATGGGCCAGGAAGACTGTTGGGGGCCACCCACAGAGTGTGAACCCCAGGGAGTGGGAGGAGGTTAAGTGAAGACGGCTGGGGACTGGGGCAGGGCTGAGACTGCAGAGCAAGAAGGTCAACGCACAGGTCTAGGTGACGGGATCAGGTGACCCCTCTACGGCATGGGGACAGCCAGGGTCCAGGGTGTCCTGGGAGGACAGAATACCACAGCACCCCAATAGGCAACTTCTCTTTCCCCCAGGACACTGAGATCATCAACACAGCCATCCTGACCGGCCGGACAGTGGCCATCCCTGTCAAAGTGATCGCCATCGAGGTGACTGGCCTTGTCCTGGATGTCTCTGCCTTTGTAGAGTGCGAGTCTGACAATGAGGACATCATCAAGGTGGGCTTCCTGGAGCTGGGGGCCCCGGGGGAAAGGGCTCAGATCCTCACAGGGAGCAGAGCCCCAAACTAGAAGAGAGTTTGCTTCCAGGACAGCCCCTCCCCCGGGTAGTAAAATGGGGAGGGAAAAGGCTGTGTGTGTGGGAGAGCTACAGATATCTCAAGAAGCCCTGTTCATGCCTGGCCATCCTAGAAGTCTTCCTGTAAGAATGTGGAAGAAGCCATGGCAGGCTGAGGTGAGACGCTGTCTGGGTGTGAGGGTGTGTGAGAGGGTGTATGTCACTGTTGATTCCCACTGTCCCCTGCAGGCCAGGCATGGGATGGGGTGAGAAAAGGACCACCCCTCAGTGCCGATGGAGATTAGCTCCAGGAGGAAGCTTCTGGAAGCATGTAAGTTAGGCCAGGAGCAAAGGTTGTATGAGGAAGGAGCCACTTGGGCACAGCCCCTGCCAACTCCTCCCCAAAGTCTCTCCCACGCCCCCTCCCCCGCACACCCCTATCTGGGCTCCGCATTCCCCGAGGCTGCACCGAAGGACAGTCACTGGATGGTCCAGGTCTCCCTCTCCTTTGGGGAGCACGTGTAGATCCACCTTCCTCTCCCACCCGGCCTGAGACACTCGGTTGGGGAGTGGGCAGTGACACGGGCAGGGGGCAGTCAGTGCTGAAGCCTGTTGGGCATACCAGCCTCCACTGTCATCCCGTCAAATGAGTGGACAAGGGGCAGGGTCCCTCTGAGTCCCTCAGCATCAGGGATTAGGAAGAGAGGGCGCATGGACCCCCTTCCCACACACCACAGCGACTCTCTCTCTCTCTGTCTCTCTCTCCACCCCACCCCGGATCTCTGAGAGCCCGAGGCTCACTCCACCCATCCCCAACACCCCGGAAAGACCAGCACCCCAGAGAGCAGAGCTCATGGAGGGTCCCACCCCGCATCCCTGCTGTGGGCACATGGAAAGGTGCTTGCTCCCAAGCCCTCACCCCCCTTCACCTCCTCCCCCATCAACACACACACACACACACACACACACGCATGCACGCACGCGCACACACACACACACACACACACACACACACACACACACACACACACAGCCCACCCAGCAGAGCCGTGCTGGCGTCCGTACCAAGGGGAATAAGCAGAGATCTGAAACGGAATTAGTTTCCGTCCTCGATGAGATCGCTCCAGTTCTTTATAGCAGTCGCCAGCACTCTCCGTGGAATTTGCCAGCCCTCAGCTGGAATTCTCTGCCTTCTCGAGAGGGAAGTGAGCATTTCTGGCAGGGCCACCCTCACCTCCCTCTGCCCACCCCAGGCATCCACGGGGATGGTTGCCAAGGTCTAGGGGACCCCTCCACCGTACACAGATGACTCCAGAGCTCCCCACCAGAACGTCTTGGGTGTCCCCTGCCGAGGGCAGAGCGGTGGACACCGTGGGTCCTTGGTGCTGGGCTCCCCGGAGCGCCAGGTGTGTGCGTGGGCCCAGGGTGCATCACCCGCCACGCGACTGCCCACAGCGCTGCCGGGGACACCTGTGTGAGTGGGCGCAGTAGCCAGCAGGCTGCATTCAGTGAACCCAGGCCCCCTGGGAACCTGGGGGAAGGCACGTTACCATGGAGATGGGCGTGGACATGGGCAGGCAACACCCCAGCGGTGGCACCTTCTACCTGCCAGTGCCCGCAGGTCCCGTTTCCTGTTTCCTCTCTCCTCCTCCTCAGCCCCTCCTGGGAGCAGCCCCCTCACCCGGAATGAATCCGCTGCCCCTTTTCTTGCTGCCCTTTGGCCAGCCCTGCCCCTGCCCTTCTGCTCGGACTCCATGGGCTGGGCAGCCGTGTCCTGCTGGGTTGGGCAGTGTCTGCCTGCTGCCCATCACTCTGTGGCTCTAGAGCCTGCTTAGTCATGTGGGGGAGGGGTCAGCAGGTCAGAAGCGGCTCCCAGCAAGAGAGTAAAGCCTCTCCCACCCCCATGCCCAAGAAGAAACCCCTGCAGGGTGGAGCAGCCATAGGGACAGATGGGAGTGACACATCGAAGGAGAATTCTGTTCTGTGCCCCCCACCCGTGCATCCTTCCCCTCCAGCCCCGGGGAGTGTCCCCTCTCACCCTCCAGTGGTCAGTCGTCCTGGTCCTGTGTGTGGGACTGGAGCCCCCTGCAGGGTCGCCTGGGTTGATGTGCCCCCCTCACCACACACACAATGCCCCCCGCTTCTCCTCCCCAGGTCTCCAGCAGCTGCGACTACGTGTTCGTGAGCGGGAAGGAGACGCGGGGGTCCATGAACGCCAGGGTCACCTTCCGCTACGACGTGCTTCAAGCCCCCCTCGAGATGACGGTCTGGGTGCCCAAGCTGCCCCTACACATCGAGCTCTCGGACGCCCGCCTCAGCCAAGTGAAGGGCTGGAGGGTGCCCATCCTCCCTGACCGGAGGTACAATCCCTCCCCACCCCCAGCACACACACCCACACGGGAGCTGGGCCAGAGTGATACCTGCAGACCTGCAGATCTGCACCATCTGTGCCATGGGATCTAAGGCCCCAGGTGGACCCCAGGCCCTTGACGGAGGTTGTCTCAGGGGAGATTGTTTCAGGGTCCCTATCAGTTTGGGAACTGCTGTCTGTGTGGGGTGTGCATGGCCTTCCCATGTCTGCAAAGATCTCCCCCTGAAAGGTGCCTCCGTGGCGTCCCCTCAGTCCCACTTGGCGTTCAGGTGTGTGTGCGGCACCTCGGGTCCCCTTGTCCAGAGCTCAGCCCTGCCTAATCCCTGAGCTTCGGGGCCCGGCTGCGTGAGGCCAGCGGGCAGGCTTGCACTGGAATGTGTGGGTTAGAGAATGAATTCAGTATTATTTAGTCCTGGAAGCGTTGGGGGTTCTTTATTTAGAAGTTCAGGGATATTTTTACGACCAGAAATAGGTTGTAGGAACTTCATTGGTTTCAGATCGGCTCAGGGGGAGATGGGTCGCCTTAGGCATTGTTTGTCTTCACTTAGCAATTTCTGAGACGCTGCCAACAAGGTTAAGTGAGGACTTCCACAGTCTGCGGGTCACTTATGCAATCAACACACCTTTCTTGCATAGTTACTGTGTTTCACGAGCTGACAGAGTAGCAGGGTGAGTGGGACTGGTGTCTGACCTGGCCAAGCCCTGGGTCTGGCAGCATGGCCATTGTGAGGGAACCGGGAAGCCCCATGTGCAGCGAATCAAGTGGCACCAAGGAGAGAACTCAGAAAAGTCAAGGCAGCCTTCTAGGAAGAGGTGACTCCTGAGTGATGCCGTAAAGAACAGATTAGAGGGAATGGGACAGAGCAATAGTACAGTGGGGAGGGCATTTGCCTTGCACATGGCCGACCCAGGTTCTATCCCTGGCATCTGTGTGGTCCCCCAAGCATTGCCAGGAATAATTGCGGAGTGCTGAGCCAGGAGTAACCCCAGAGCATTGCCAGGTGTGACCCAGAAAACCCAAAATAAATAAATGAATTAAAAGTTTAAAAAAAGATAGAGGACAGATGGAAAGGAGCCGGGCAGGGGATGGGGTGAGTGACTCTCACACCTGCACTTGTCCATCTGCAGGCATGTCTGGGTGCTCACACCCTCCTCTCACCCACTCATTGCCTCCGGGGAGAAAATCCAGCAGGGAAGAGCAGAGGTGGAGAATGGCGGGTGTTGGGGAGTGGGCTGGGTAGGGCTGGAGCCAGCGGCTGGCAGCCACGTGGGGATGGGGGTCTGGGAGAGCCTGTGCCGCCCCTGCCAGGCCCATGTGAATTCCCCAGGGATCGTGCTCAGATCCCGACCCACCGGCCCCTCAGTTCTGCACCTCGCCAGCTCCGAGGTGAGGCTAGAGTGCCCGTGCATGTCGGGTAGCCTGGGTTTGGGCTCCGAATCTGCCCTTGGGAGACTGGCATGCCCACTCCGTGCCTCGGTTTCCTCGTCTGTGAAGTGGCCGCACTCACGCCTGATGGCACTGCGCAAGACTGCTGTTAGGGAGCGTGGGTGAGCATCCCTGCAGGGATGAATGTTCCGGTCTTTGGACCCATGGAATGTACTCACCAGAACCCCTTCCTGCGGAGTTCAGGCTGGTGGTCAGGGTCACTCACAAGCCTAGAGTCCTGTTTCAGTTCCTCTCACCCACTTTCCCCGCAGAATCTCTCCTCTCAGTTTCTCTCCGAGCAGCAGTAGGAGCCCAGCCTGCACTTGCTGTGTGTGTGTGTGTGTGTGTGTGTGTGTGTTTAGGGCATTAAACCTCCAAGTTCACCGTATTAGTTTGCTCGATGCCTTGGCATGGTGCACCACCATTAGGCCAAGCTCCGCAGTGCCCTGTGAGCAGGGGCGCCTTTGCTCAGGGAGGGTTGGGGAGGAGGAGCAAGTTGATGCCATGCATTCGGGGGCATGGGTTGAGCCCAGCAGAGGCAGCAGGGGACCCAACACGACCAAGAAAGTCCTTTTGGGGGGAACGAACCGTCTGGAAGCCCTGGCTGCCAGGAGGAAGGCAACCCGGCAGCTCGCTGGGGGGACCTGCAGGGCACAGGCGAGGACCGAATCTGAAGCACGTGTCACCTCTGCAGGTCAGCTCGGGAGAGTGAGGATGAGGACGAGGACGAGGAGGAACGGCGACAGAGCGCCAGCCGCGGCTGTACCCTGCAGTACCAGCACGCCACCCTGCAGGTCTTCACCCAGTTCCACACCACATCGTCCGAGGGCACCGGCCAGGTGGTCCCCATGCTAGGCCCAGACTGGCTGGTGGAGGTCACCGACCTGGTCAGTGACTTCCTGCGAGTGGGTGACCCCCGGGTGGCACGCCTGGTGGACAGCAGCACCCTGGCAGGCCTGGAACCGGGTACCACCCCCTTCAAGGTAGGTACCTGGCACCTTGTTGACCTGGGAGGGGAGGGCCCTGGTGCTGTAGGGTCTGGATTCGTGTGTCTCAGCCTCCAGAGGCATCCCTGACACCCCAGGAACATACTTTCTGGAGATGGGAAGATGGTCCAGGGGTTAAGGCACATTCCTTGCCCACACCCAACCCTTGGCACCATGTGAACCCCGAGTACCACCAGGCATGGCCCTGGTGACCCCCAGCAGTGCATGGCCTGAGTAGTGCCACATCCCACAGCCGACTCAACCATCAGCTCAGCAGGCGAAGAGCTGCCAGGGGTGCCCTGGCCTCCAGAGCATACTTGCGAGCCCTGTTCCCACACTCCCCTGCTCCCCAAGGAAAACCCCCCAAGAAGAAAGGCTTTTCCACCTGCCATCAAAGATCAGACGCCTCTGTTTCACCTTAGTGAGGCTCCTGCCCAGCCTGACCCACACCCCCAGCCCTGCGAGGCTCAGGGTGAGAGCGGGTGCACGCAGGAAGAGGGCAAGTCAGCCTTGTGGCCAGGAAGGGTCCTACCCAGGGACTCAGCTCGGACCTTCCTCCGTGTCAAAACACAAAACAAACACTGTCCTCCCATTGTTCATCGATTCGCTTGAGTGGGCCCAGTAACATCTCCATTTTTTGAGACTTGTTGTTACTGTGTTTGGCATATTGAATATGTCACGGGTAGCTTGCCAGGCTTTGCCGTGCATGTGAGATACTCTCGGTAGCTTGCCAGGCTCTCCAAGAGGGGCAGAGGAATCGAACTCGGGCTAGAACCATAGCACAGCGGTAGGGCATTTACAGTGTGCACAGCCAGCCTGACCGAGCTGGGTTTGATTCCTCCACGCCTCTCGGAGAGCCCTGCAAGCTACCGAGAGTATCTTGTCCGCGCAGCAAAGCCTGGCAAGCTCCCCGTGACATATTTGAAATGCCAGACACAGTAACAACAAGTCTCAAAATGAAGACGTTACTGGGCCCACTCGAGCAAATTGATGAATGATGGGAGGACAATGTTTGTTGTTGGGCTGGAGGGATAGCACAGCGGTAGGGCATTTGTCTTGCATGCACCGATCCGACCTCCCGCATCATCAGATGAAAATCCCTCCCCTGAAGACAATGTTCCCTGTGCCCAAGAGCTGGGCTCAGCTTGCAGGCATTTTGGGAGGCAAAGGATCTGACTTAAGGATTGGGAGGTTTCTCAGGTATTCATGTATTCATTCCCTGGGTTTGGGGGCCACCCACATTGGTATGAGAGGGCTCTTCTTGCTCAGCTCAGGAGTGACCCCTGGCCACACTCAGGAGGTCGTATGTGGTGCCGTGGATGGAACTTGGGCCAGCCACATGCAAGGCCAAGTCCCTACTCCCTGTGCTATCTTTCCCAACCCTCTCTTTAAAAAATTATATCTATATCTATACCTATATCTATGTTCATTCCCAGGGCCTGGAGCTCTAGTACAGGGATGGGGAGGGTAAGGAGCTTGCCTCACATAGGATCTCCGAAATGGCATACGGTCCCGGAGCACTGCCAGGATTTCGGGTTTTTTTTTTTTTTGGCTTTTCAGGTCACACATCCAGAAATGCTCAGAGGTTATTCCTGGCTCTGCACTCAGGAATTACTCCTAATGGTGCTCAGGGGAACATATGGGATGCTGGGGATTGAACCCGGATTGGCCATGTGCAAAGCAAACACCCTACCCGCTGTACTATTGCTCCGGCCCTGCACTGCCAGGATTGATCCTGGAGCACAGAGCCAGGAGTAAGTCCTGAGCACAGCAGGGTGTGGCCCCAAACAGACTTAGATTTTTTAAAATAAACAACATGGTTTGTGCCCCCTGGTCCCCCACCAGGAATCAGCAGGAGTAGCCCTGGAGCGACTGCCACAGCCCTGGTCACTGCACCCCCCCCCCTGCCCCCTCACCCCCTCACCAAGGTCTCCTGACTCAGGGACTGAGCAGCCATTGCTGGTTCTCACTCTGGGGGGGAGGGGGGTGCTGTGTCTCACCCCTTCCCAACTCTCTCTCTCCCACTCCTGCCTGATTCCCAGAGCCACGACCCACACCAGGAACCTGGCTCCAGCCTCCAGCCCCTTCCCCTCCAGCAAAGCCCCAAGGGGACTCCTCTCAGGTGGGCCGAGGGCCCAGGAGGGCACGGTCTGACCCCACCCCTGTTCTGGCCCAGGTGGTGTCCCCGCTGACCGAGTCCGTGCTCGGGGAGACGCTGCTCACGGTGACGGAGGAGAAGGTCAGCATCACGCAGCTGCAGGCACAGGTGGTAGCCAGCCTGGCACTATCCCTGAGGCCCAGCCCAGGCAGCAGCCACACCATCCTGGCCACCACGGCCGCCCAGCAGACCCTCAGTTTCCTCAAGCAGGTAACTGTATGGCCACGGCCTCTCCTGGGGAGTGAGGGGGATTCCCGGGACCCCATGAGTGCCCCCAAGTGCCCTTTGGCAAATGTCAGGGCTGTTCCCCCCCCCCCCCCGTCACGCCCCGCACCTGCTGCTGTCTACACCAGGGGTCCGACTGAGTCTCCATTCCTGCACCCCTCCCACCCCACTGTGTTCCTCCTGCTCCCACATTCTCAGCGGGCCCACGCCTCTGCTCCCCCCGGGACCCCCACTGCACTCCCCTACAGGTATGCCTACTTACATGGGCAGAGTGGGAATGGGGGTGGAGCCACAGAGAGGGGGCCCCTGAGCTGGACACGGTAGCCCCAGGCCAGATCCTCCTCCCTAGGGCTCAAGCCTTCCCCTGCAGCCAGGTGGGCTCTCAGGAGGGCAGTGTAGACCGAGATAGAGCTGGGGTCCGAGTGTCAGGAGCAGGCCTGGGGGTGGGGGGCTTGACACCCAGGGCAGAGATGACCTCCAACTCATGGAGGAGAAGGGGGGAAGGCAGGAAGCAGACTGGGATGTTGCAGAATGGGTCACCTCCCAGCTCAGTCCTTCCTGAGCCCCCCACTGGCACTGTTCCCGGGATCCCCACTGAGAGCCAGTGCCTGGGCCCGCCCTCAACCCCGGGGCTCAGGATCCCACCTGGAAGTGGCCAGCTCCCATGTTCTCATCCTTGCTTCCTCCTCCAGGAAGGCCTCCTGAGCATCTGGCTCTCCTACAGCGACGGCACCACGGCCCCCCTCTCCCTCTACAGCCCTCGGGACTATGGGCTGCTGGTGAGCAGCCTGGACGAGCGGGTGGCCAAGGTGACCCAGGACCGGGCCTTCCCGCTGGTGGTGGCCCAGGCCGAGGGGGCCGGGGAACTGCTCCGGGCCGAGCTCAGCATCGCCGAGAGCTGCCAGAAGACCAAGCGCAAGAGTGTGCTGGCCACCACCCCTGTGGGCCTGCGCGTGCACTTTGGGCGGGACGAGGAAGACCCCACCTACGACTACCCGGGACCCAGCCAGCCAGGGCCCGGCGGGGGCGAGGACGAGGCGCGGGGAGCTGGGCCCCCCGGTACGGCGTTCCCTCCGCCTGGGGCACCCGGCCAGGGCACCGGCAGCCCTGCCGTGCTGCCCACGGAGGACATCCTGCCGCTGCCCACTGGCTTCCTGCAGATGCCGCGGGGCCTGACAGACCTGGAGATCGGCATGTACGCGCTGCTGGGCGTCTTCTGCCTGGCCATCCTCGTCTTTCTCATCAACTGCATCGTCTTCGTGCTGCGCTACCGCCACAAGCGCATCCCGCCCGAGGGCCAGACCAGCATGGACCATTCCCACCACTGGGTGTTTCTGGGCAACGGGCAGCCGCTGCGGGTGCAGGGCGAGCTGTCGCCGCCCGTGGGCAACCCGTTGGAGACGGTGCCCGCCTGCTGCCATGGCGACCACCACAGCAGCGGCAGCTCGCAGACCAGCGTCCAGAGCCAGGTGCATGGGCGGGGGGACGGCTCGTCGGGGGGCTCGGCCCGGGACCAGGCCGAGGACCCCGCCAGCTCGCCCACCTCCAAGCGCAAGCGGGTCAAGTTTTCCACCTTCACCACGCTGCCCTCGGAGGAGCTGGCCTATGACTCGGTGCCCGCCGGCGAGGAGGACGAGGAGGATGAGGAGGGCCTGGGCTGGGGCTGCCCCGACGTGGCGGGCAGCGGGCGCCCCATGCCCCCGCCAGACCTGCACAACTACATGCGCAGAATCAAAGAGATGGCCTAGAGGCGAGATGGTGATGGGCCGGTCGCTGGCAGGCTGGGCTCCCCAAGGGGGGTTCCCCAGACCCCTGGCCGAAGGCTGCGAGTGGATTTGAACATCCGGCCTGCGGCTCTGTTCTCTGTGGCTCCGCCCTCCTGCCAGACGGACCCTTTGCGCCCTGCTGGAGGAGAGCTCGGAGTCTGCTAGCAGCGGAGTGATGCCAGACCCTGTCGCCCTTTTCAAACCGCAGCCCTCTGCCCTGGGGGAGGACGAGAAGGAGGCAGAACTTGGGGGCGGGGAACCCACACTGTGCCCCACCCTTGCCGCCCATAGGCGCCCCCCTTCCCTCTTGGGGGGGAGGCTGGGGGAGACATGGGGGAGGGTCTTGTGTCTCAAGCTGCACAGAGACTTTTCTCAAACCACTATTCAGGGATTTCTGTCCTGCGGGGTGGGGACAGGGCGGCGGCCTGCGCTGCCAAGGATCTTGCTGTGGAGGGGACATTGTGGGCTGGGGGGACCCTCTAGTAGCAGCGTCTATGACTCCCCAGGCTCGGGGACCGTCGGTGGGGGGCTCGAGAGAGACCCAGGGATCTCCGAGGGCCGTGGGCAGGGGCCCGGGCAGAAGAGGTCCCCGGTCAGCACCATGCCTTAGCCGCTCCTCCCACCCCACTGAGCACTGGGACCCTGTCCCCCGCGGTGGGAGCGGGAGAGGCACCAGGAACGCTGTGAAGGACCTCGGGGTGGGCAGAGAGAAAGGGAGAGCTGGCACCGCCCGCCCGCCCCATGGCCACTCTTCTCTCGGGCTCTACCCTCCACTGTGTTTGATTTTTAATGAAATAAAATGCAGGCGACGGAAAGGGGTGGGAGCAGCCGCTCCTCGAGAACCGAAAGGACCCGGCAGCCGCCTCCGTGTCTTCCTTCTGCGCGCGCGCGCACGCAGCAGGCGCACAGGCTGGGTGCACATGTGCGTCTGTTTGCTGCAGGCACGCTGGCGACGTGACACAGGAGGGGAAGGCGGCCGAACCGGACCTGGTCCTTGGAGGGGTCACGCCTTGTGAGACCCTCCTGCAGAGGTGGGGCCTTAGGGAGGGGGCTACCTCCAGGAGGCTGCCGTGATGGCTCAGGGCTAGTGGGAAGAAAAGCACAGAAAAATGGGGAGCACACCTAGGTCCGGTCCTTCCCTCCTTCCTTCCTCACTCCCTCCCTCCCTCCCTTCCTTCCTCCCTTCTTTCCTTCCTTCCTCACGCCCTCTCTCCCTTCCTTCCTTCCTTCCTTCCTTCCTTCCTTCCTTCCCTCCCTCCTTCCTTCCATCCTCCCTTCCTTCTTTCCTTCCTCTCTTCCCTTTTTTATATTTATTTATTTTTATTTATTTATTTATTGAATCACCGTGAGAACAGTCACAAAGCCTTTCAGTTCAAGTCTCAGTTGGTCATACAATGATCAAACACCCGTCCCTTCACCAGTGCACATTTTCCACCACCAAGAACCCCAGTATACCCCCCTCCCAACCTCCCCCTGCCTGTGTGGCAGATTTCCACTTTACTCTCTCTCTCTCTCTCTCTCTCTCTCTCTCTCTCTCTCTTTCTCTCTGTTGCTCTGTTGATCACATTCAATATTACAACAAAAGACCCGACATTATTATTTGGAATTTTCCCCAACATTCAGACCTGCCACAAAGACATCATTAGAAAATTTGTTTTCTGTTGCTGATTATGAAGAGCATATGATGTCGTGTGGCCACAATAGCTGCCACGCGAATTTGGATTTCTGATATTTTAGTAATAAACGTAGAGGGATTACTGCCAGAAGCCCCTGGGTTCCGAGATTGGTATGTGTGCCTTTAGGATCATGGTCGGTCAGAAGCCAGAGGAGGCATTTGGAGGGTGGTAGCCCGGAGCATTGTCATGGTGGGGAGCAGGGCCAATTCCACCCCTATCCCATGAAGCCCCACATGCCTCATCAATGCAGTCTCACACCTGGCTGTTAATTAGGATCTAAAAGATGCAGGCCACCATGCCGCCACCACAGAGGGGGACAGGCAGACACCCTTCCCCTCCCAGGGCAGCATAGCACCATAGTTAAATACACAGTCCAGTCGTTATTTTTTGCTCAGATTTTCCCACCACCACTCAAGTCTGATTTTCAGGGACAAATGCTAGATCATTTACTTTCCACTGATCACTTTGCATATCAGGAAATATTGTGCAGCTGCTTATGTGGCCGTGTGGTTCGGAAAATAGTCCTGGTACCGCCATGCCAGAGCCATGCTTGTAGAAGCTCATGGTCACCGAGATTCCATCTGGAGAAGGCAGGGAAACGGCTCCTACCCCATCTGGGACCTCCCAGTGATATCGGCTCTGGATGGGGCCCAGAGAATTCTCCGGGAGCAATGGGGCCCTCCAGCTGGTTTTTTTCTTCACTGCTGTATGCTGTAAGATGGCACTGGGGGTGGGTTGTGGGCATGACTTCCGGAATCAGAGGTTGCCTGGGAGCCAGGGCAGCCCCATTGCAGTTCGGAAAATAGTCCTGGTACTCGCATGCCAGAGCCATGCTTGTAGAAGCTCATGGTCACCGGGATTCCATCTGGAGAAGGCGCCTCCCTTCCTTCCTTGCCTTTTCTCTCCCTCCCTACCTCCCTCCCTCCCTCCCTCCCTCCCTCCCTTCCTTCCTTCCTTCCTTCCTTCCTCCCTTCCTTCCTTCCTCCCTCCCTTCCTTCCTTCCTCTCTTCCTTCCTCCCTCCCTCTCTCTCTTCCTCCCTTCCTCCCGTCCTCCCTCCCTCCCTCCCTCCCTTCCTTCCTTCCTTCATTCCTTCCTTCCATCTTTTAGTGGGATTCCCCTCACTGACCCCCTCTCAGGAAAGTGTCTCTTCTCTGTACATCGAGGGGAAAGACAGGGGCAGGGGACACCCACTGGTAAATCAGACGGGAGAGAGCCAAGGTGCTCCGCTGGTCTCTCTGTTTGCGACCTCCCTGGACCCAGTACAGGCCACAGCCCAGAAAAGACCCCTGCTAAGGCAGTCTGGCCTCACCAGCCCCCAACCCAAACTCCTGTGACACACACACACACACACACACACACACACACACACACAGAGCAGTTTCTGGGCAAGGCCAGGCCTGGGCTGTGTTGACTGGAGCCTGCCCTCCACACCCCTCTGCCCCATGAGGGAGTGTGCTGGGAAGGTATGAGGGTGGCGTGGGCACCACAGCAACTGATGCTCCTGGCACCTAGAAGGTCTCTGGGAATGGAGTCTGCTGCGATCCAGTCTGTTATTTCAGATAAGATGTGAGGCTGGAAGGACCTACTGACTCAGCTGACCCTGTCCATGATATACTTGGGAATGAGGCTACTTAGGGCTAGAACAATAATAGTACAGCAGGTAAGGTGTTTGCTTTCCATGCATGGGTTTGATCCCTGGCATCCCATATAGCCCCCTGAGTCCTGCTAGGAGTGATCCTTGAGCACAGAGCCAGGAATAAGCGCTGAGTAACACTGGGTGTGGCCTCCAAATACATGAGAAAAAAAAAAACAATGGAAACCAGAGTAGGTAGCGTGGCAACGTTGGGGAGATGCTGTGTCCAGGGTAGAATCCTAAGCTGGGCATGAGGACTGAATACCCAGCCCTCCACAGACCTGTCATTCAAATATCAAATCGCTTGGACTTGGCGTCTGGAGAGAGGTGGGCCAAGGTTGCTGTCACTTTTAAGGACTGGTTCTCAGGGTCAGGTAGTGCTGGGGACCCAACTCAGAACCTTGCACATGCCAGGCAGGACCCCTTGAGCCATCTCCCCGGCCCCAGCTCAGTGATTTCACTGAGTCCTGGTGCCTGGAATTGACGAGAGCTCAACAAATGTTTGCTGACCAAAATCCAAATGCAAACTAGCAAGGCTTTTGCCTGATCCCACCTTTGGGAGTTTCCTATAAGCTTCCTTACTGCCTTTTCCGTGCCTACAACCACCGCTTATGGGGAGAGAGAGAGGCACCAGCATGGGCCCAGCAGGCCGACTGGCGGCCAGGAGGGGTGCTGGCTTGTGAGCACTGGATTGTGGGAGCCCTCATTTCTCTGACATGTGAAGCCACCGCTGCTTGCTGGACCCTGCGGGAACTGGAGGCCAGGAAGAGGCACACGAGTGCTGACCAGTATCACTGCGCTGACCAGGATCACCTTATGGCTGTGCGCTTGCACGTGCTTAGCCAAGGAGGAAGGGCAGACACGGACAAACAGCCAAGACTTTGCTGAGGCCAGGGCCTAGGGAAGTCCAGGAAGCATGGGGAGAGGCGAGCAGGGGAACTGGAGGTCCGAGGCAGCTCTCCACTCCTGTGTGTTCCTCAGCTGTCCATCTGTGCACAGGCTTTCCTGATAGAAAACACAAAGAGCATGAATGAGAAGAGGGGTCATGCGGGGAGTGGGGCGGAGAGGTCAATGTCAGCCTCAGATCACGCCCTCTCCATGAGAGAAGGAAGAAGAAAGTTGTGTAGGGGTGGGGAGACTGGGACGCTGCCACGGTGGAAAGGACAGACCAGGAAAGATAGAAGCTGGTGCAAACAGTGGTGCTCAGCTACAGGAGAAGCTACTGCATACAGTGGCGCTCAGCTACAGAAGAAGCTGCCGCATATGGTGGTGTTCAGTTACAGGAGAAGCTGGTGCATACAGTGGTGCTCAGCAGAAAAAAATGGTGTATGCAGTAGTAATTAGTTACAGAAGAAACTGGTGTATACAATGGTATTAAGCCACAGACTTTTCCGCTTGGAGATGAGGGAAGGACAGATGAGCTGCTCCTTCAGACCCCTTTCCCAAATGCCTCTGGGAACCGGGCACCCCAGGGAGAAAGCAGGTGCTGTCATGAAGAGTTTGCCTGCATCCATAACTTCACATAAGGGTGAGTCAAGGCACCGGGGGTCAGCGGGGAGGTGTCAGGTCTAGCAAATGACCGAATGTCACATAGCAAGCCCAGTGACAGCGGCAATGCCCTGCCTGCCATTCTCCCCTATAATTTGTGTCCCTTTCCCTTCCATTCCCCTCCTTTCAGACACGGGAAGCCAGACGCAATTGCCATAAGCAGCAAGTC